TTTGTCACTACGCGTTTTAGTTAGCGGTTGGCAGAACAGCGCGGGCCGCAGCGTAACCTACATTGTCTAACTACTGTACACCACAGTAAGCACTGTATTTGACAACGGTTATTTCAACATAGCACGAGAATATTGTGATGAATACTTTAATTTTTTTAAATTATATTTCGATTAGGAAATGAAACTATTTTTCCGGATTTAAATCGCGTATACTACAGGTCCCAGGCCCTTTACAGGTCCCAAGGGACCTGTTTAGGGCCCGAAACGTCGGTTTGTTTGAAAAAACAAATATACGCGATTTAAATCCGGAAAAATAGTTTCATTTCCTATGTGTAACAATCACGAAAACCTAAGAACTCAATATACATTTCGATTCCTTACTTTCTCAAACTCGTATCTTATGAAGAGTGATTGTTCAGGAGATAGCAAAACTTCATATTTATTATAAATTTCTTACCAAGAGTGTTAATTTGGATGCATACTTTAAGAATAGGTAAAAGCCAGTGCAGGTAAAAGCCTGCAAAATTTGTACATACATCCATTTTTTGCATTTCAGTAAATTGTACTTTAAGATAAGAGTTTGAGAAAGTGAGGCGACAATTTTGCAATCTGTATATAAACAACGATTGACGTGTATGCATTGACGCCCCGAACTCACAGGAGTTGGACTATGCTCTTAATGTTTTATGGCACTGATTTTCAACTACCATCTTCGAAGGTAGCGTGTTGGAGTGCATCAAGAACAAAAACATGTTAATGTAGTGTGCTTTTGTTTAAATATTAGCCTCAGGCTTGATTTATATCGCCGAGACACAAAACAACGAGCAATGTCGATAAAGAATTGAATAAATACATAAATTATTTTTAAAATAATAACCTCTATCAATCCATTTAGGTCGCGCGCACGTTTGTTCATAAGGTCTTCGAACCACTGGATTTTATTTGACACGTTCAGCACATACCGACTTCTTAGGATCGGATCTAAATCGCGTAAATTTGTTTTTTCAAACAAACCAACGTTTCGGGTCCTTTACAGATCCCATGGTCACGGCTGACTGCACTGACGGAACCACGTAACACGTAATGTTTAACGATAATAAAAACCATTGCAAATATAAAAATAATAACAAAAGTTTCAATTTCCACTGTACTGTGTCACAAAGCAACAATGTAAAAGATTGCCTTTCTGGTATCAATCTAACTAGTCATCGATTCGTGTATCAACACTGTAGCCACTAGCCGTTTATTAGCGTGGACATGTGTACGAGTAGGTAACACGGAACACCCGGTGGGTACACACTACACACACTGTCACCAGCAGCCAGCTCGTGCCTCGCGTGTCAGATATCCATGCGACACATCACTCATACTTTGCACGGCACCCCGCCCCTTGCCACCCGCATCCTCCCTGCCGGTACACTGACAGAAAACTGCCAATATTTCATGTCAGTTCGCTCGCAGCCTTGTTTCCATCCATCGATGCTATCATCGTCCCCTAACTGCAATATTTCGTGCAACGTAAAAATACTGTTACCAAACTCAATGGCTCACGTTTCCTTGGTGGAACCAAAATTGTTTCACTCATCAAAATTATGTCAGTCCCATTTTGAACGTTCACCCTCCTTAAGAATTTGAAAGAACGAATGAGAATAAAAGGCAATATTGTGACGAAGAAATTTGCAACTTAAATAGGAATTAATTCTCAGTAGGATTTTATTCTGGTTTAAAAGGCGTTTACCCTTAAATAGGCATTAAAAAGGGTCCGGGGGCTAGCTTAAGTACAGCTGAATTTAAATCTCAACCGTAGCCAATACACTTTTGTTATATTATTTTCCAAAAACCTACTTCACTCTATAATAATTCCATCAGGCGGCAGCAATCAACGTGAAAGCTTCGTAAATTATTTTAGATGGTTCAAACTACTTAAATATAATTACACTGTATATTTTTACGCCTTTGTGATCACAATTTGCTTTTAGTCGACTTCGAGGGAACTGATGACCAAAAACTTTCGTCGATCGAAATTTACCGAACATAGTTGGGAGGCCCAAACAGGCGTTATCCATTAGAGCGAAAAGTAATGTTGAGTACGAACCACACTACCTTTCAGCGAAGGCCGCTCATGCCGGCGGCGATCACAATACTTGAACTTTGCTTTTAAAACACCACAGAATTTATTTAAACTTCATTCATTTACACGAACATCCCTAATATTTTACCGCAAGACTTCGGTCGAAGAGTGGCTGTATTTCATAAAACAAAGTAAAAAATGTTAACGTAGTTGAAGTTTTATTAATTTTTCTTTAATCCAGAGCCATTCATGTCATTGCCACCGTTGCCGAGTTAATTAGAGGGGACTTTAAAAGTTCTACGTCAAATTAGAAAACTTTTAATTTCAGTGAACTTGCATTTAGGGTGAAATCAATGGGCAGGCTGCGAAGCCGAGAGAATACGGACTGTGACAAATTCATTCCAATCAAGTGAGACGGGGTAAATGAAAGAGTGGCGAACTAACTGTGAGACAATAGCACTCGACTACCATCTGCTGGATCTGTGGTGAAGGCCTTTCCACTGCGCCTTTATAACAGATTGTTGTTGGTTCTGCGTTGGCGCGCGCCCGACAATAGCGAGTATTGAAAAATAAATTGTTGGCTTTGTTAGATGCTCAGTGGGTATGACGCAGCTGCGGCTATAGTGTAAAATAGGATTTTGTACTTTACTATTCTATTCGTAGGGCAAGTAGTTTGTTAAAAACCTGTTTAGTGAAAAGCAACGAAATCTACTAACGTCTTTTGAATTTTAGCTTCAAAATAAAATATTAAATGATTATCACTAATTACAGGTTTCTCACCACGGTATGAGATCTTTTTATTTTCCCGACATTTCGATGCGTTTACACGCTTCTTGGTCTCACGGGCCGACTCACTCTCACTCAGTATCCCGTGACCATGATGCGTGTAACCGTTCCGAATTATTGGAAAAACAAAAATAACTCATACCGTGGTAAGAAACCTGTAATTAGTGATAATCATTTAGTGAATAACCAGGAAACTCTATTAAAATATTTAATTCAGCCTTCCCCTGACCATCATCGGAGGACTAGACGTGGGCTTGGATTCCACCTCTATGTTGTGGATCGTCCACAAAGATTCACACGAAGCGTTACGCTTCCACATTTATATGGCGAACCGCTATGAAGTGGAATTGCCTGCCTGCACACTTGTTCCCTGGACGTTATAATTTGGACCTTTTCAAGGCGTCGACCTCATCGTCACTTTCCAGCAGGTGAGGGAGGTGGAAGTCAAACGCGCACTTAAAAAAAAGTGCCTGAGGAAAATATGGAGCTTCCTTCTTTCTTACCCATTTGTTTACATAGGTACGTTGGACAATAATATATCCTTGACACTAATCAAAATATTAGCTTATCAAAGTAGATTTTTTTTTAAACTGCAAAACAACGCCGTTGTGATAAGCATTAATCAGGTCAAGTGAACAATACTGTGATTATCATTAGATGCAGGTTTTTGTTACGGCATATATTTTTTCTTTTTATTTCACTTTTTCTATTTCAGAGCGGCCAACTCATGACCAAGGCGAGTGAATCCACTCTAAACTATCGAATCATATATAATTTACTTAAAAAAACTACGAAAATGTCCATCTTCTAAAAAGATTGTGACTCTCTAACGACCAAAGCAGCTAATGCGTCACGGCTGATTCAATACTGAATAATCCATTTACCCGGCGAACGCAACTGTTCAATAAATGATTTTATCCATAAGGATAATGGTAGGATTTTCCACTGTTTATTGTGGACTCAATCTCCCACTATGATTGATTGAGGTTTGGGAGGAACTTCTCCAAAAGAAAATTACTTCGTTATCTTGTAAGTAGCTGTTTGTATGGTGTTGATTGCATACACACATATACGTCTCAGAGACGTAGGAGTTATACAAGAACCGAAACAAAGGCTAAATTAAATGAATGAAATTGGATACGGGGTGCCTAAAACTCTGGCCATCTCTCTATTCCTGTATGTTTCTTTTTCACGATGGGGCACCGTGGATCTAAGGTCTCGACTGCGGAGGGTACGAAGGGTTGGATAATGTCAAGATCCTTCGGATCCTAAACGAAATTCAGTGCTGGGAACGCATTGTGTTTTCCAGCAAATACTATGATTTAATGACCTTTTTGTTACTGCAGCTAGCACCATACAAAGTATTTTTATACTTGGTGTCATTGACTTACAAATAAATGGACGACGGGTCTAATACACAAACCACGAAAAAATTGTCCCAAGTCAACCTATTTAAACGTAGTGACATGTAAAGGAATATGAAAAAGCTAAAACGAAAATGAATTTAAATTGTAATGTCATCGCAGTACTGTCTAATTTTGCTTGCTTCGCTGTCAGTCGAACAAACGAAGACTAAAGCGTGAATGACGCTCTGTGTACGATTTTAACGCCCTATAAGTTCGGACATTTTTTAGCGCGGACCCGACGTCCATATAATTGTAAGTCAATGCTTGGTGTGATAAATAGTTTGTGTTTTTATTTCTGTTTTGTTTGTGATTTTGTTTTGTAATATTTTTTATCTTTTTTTCATATCGTTTCTTTTTTTCTAGCCTGGCGGCATTTGTGATAGTCAAATAAATCTTTTAGTTCCTGGTACTTTGCTTGTTTGTCTTTGCTTTGCTTGTTTGTCTATGCTTGTTAATCTTTCCGTCAGCTCAACTGTGTAGTCAGCATTTTGCTATTGCTTTGAAGGTAGACACGGAATAGTTCCATAATGTAATAAGATTCTAATATGATATAGCTATTACATGCTATAGTAAATTTACATTAATGAGATTGTCTTTTATGGAAAACGTAAGTTTGTAGAAGAACGGAGTAACGGGAAAACGAAAAGAATAAAAAAATTTCAACATCTCTTTATTTTACTCTATAACTTAAGGTAGTGTTTTTTAGACATTATTTACAAAATGCTTAATCTGTGATCGCATTCTTGACGCTGATAAATTACATTTGGAGATCTACAACCTCTATTAAATCGAATTATAAAATAAGTTTATGGAAACGTTTTCAAGACAGAAAAGTGAAATTCTTGAATAAATCTGTAATTTATTATTACAAAATTAATTCACATTTGCAGGGACTAGGAGTTATAAATAATTCATCAGTCTTTTGCAAAATTACTATTTTTGCACTTACCTACAAAATTATATTGTATACTTGATTATATAGGTTAGATACCACATAACTCTTCATTTTTACGGGTATTTACCAGTAACGTGTGCAGGAATTAAATTTCACTATATATTTTGTTAAATGAATTTGTTTTGGCAATACACTGTCAGGGCTAGTAGATGCCACCCGATTGGTCATTTTCTTGAGTTGTCTTCTTAATTCTTCAACTAGGTAATGAAATAAAAAAAATAGAATATCGCATATTATACTATCCAGTGAGAGCAATATTTATTGAACATCGCAGCCAGTATTTCATCGTCTTGCATCTTGTGGGCAAGCAGGGAGGAGATGTCTAGGCCAGTGATTGTATCAACACTTTTATAATACAACCTCCACGTTTGAATTCGACTTTCCATTTAACATCTGGTGAAATAGAATCATTTGTCTGTCTTTTTTTTTAAATACATTAAAGATCTTATATATAGTATAATAAGACAAGTATAGTAACTCCATATAAATGTACCAGCTCGACTTGTATATGTGCACTCTCGCTGCGCGCTGTATAGAACACACACATTCGCATAATAATGAAAGGCGCGTGTGACGACCAACGCTATGCAATGCGAATGCATCGCGAGCTTACGCGAATGTGCGCGCCCGTACACGGCACGTGGCGGGCGAGCACCCATAGAAGACACGCTGCAACGATTGAATGGAGTTACCATACTTGTTTTATTACACTATCTCTCATGGGTCAAAATTACAAATTATTTTTCTACTCACAAATCCGATTGCTTGTAGGGTCGGCAGACTTAATCACATAAATAAAAAATGATTCATATTATAATAAACTCAGTTTGTTGTTCCGCATTGTTTATAATATGGAAAGATGACGATAAGGATAAGATAAGACCCCACTGGAATTTAAGTTAGAACAATAGAATTTGACTTATGTGCTTTAGTCTGTCGAACCTTGAATTATCTTATCACATTTATTATTAAATAATTACTTTATATAATCTATTATATTCGTTTCATGTACAATTTACTCTATAGTTTGGCCATGTTGACCTAAAACTAATATTTTATAGAATAATTTATTAAAACAACAGATAACTTTAATATTAAAGTTTTGTGAAGACAATGAACGGAATTTACAGCCGTCAAGTTTGATTTGGACTCTTGCCATGATGCGGAATTTTATATAATATCTTATAGTTATCATAACAGAGTCACAAATAAACTTATAGCTATCATCAATAGTCAAAAATAAACTTATGAATCTTTAATATTATTTATATTACAAATTAACGACGTTAGATATGTTATATCAATTTGTACAAAATGAGAATCATGATTGCGAAACATCCATCTTAGTATTGAATTTGTACTTAAAATAGAATTAGTCTCGAACTAAACTACCGAATGATGTAAAAAAGTGGCACAAGAAGAATTTCTATTCTTCGAACACAGTAGTAACTGGTATCTGGAACAAATTTGAATTTTATTGAAACCAGTCGAAAGGTTGAAAACCAATGAATGATGATTGTCAGACTCACGTCAGACCTATAATAAAGTTAGGAACAAACACAAATCACTATAGACCTCGGATTTACAAGTGCCTTTACTTCCTTTTCCGAGATATTAAAACGAGACCTGTCGACACATATCCTATATATATATAGTTTTTAATTTCTCATTGCGCATTTTCCGTAAGAAAATTTTTACTTTTATCTAGGTAAATCTTAGACGTAGGCATTGTGGTGTAGTTGTCTGTGGGTAGTGCTCTGTGTGTAATACAAATATCTGTATTATGATTCATGATTTTGTGCTAAGTATTTTATAATCTGCCAGAAATTTAAAAACTGGAATGATATGCATGTTAGTCCTTCTCTTTTTGAATATGGCAAGCAATGGCGGAATATCAGCGACGCTGAGAAACATTCCGCCATTGTGCTGAGGTATAGACCTTTTTATCTCCCATCACTATTGTCAGTTACTAAACTATGTGTAAAGTAAGTTATTTATTTATTGGTGTGTTAAGATAAATAAACGGTTTTTATTTATTTATTTAGTTATTTGATAGCCTGGGTCCACTTACCTACTGCATTATTGCGGACTCCTAACACCGAAGCAACTTCCGGCTGTTCCATATCGAAAATTAGTTCGGCTCTGGCCGCATACAGATTGTATATGCTGGCAATGCAAGTCAACCGAAGGCTGCCGCCTTGGTACGCTTTGTTTTCCACTCGAAAGGCCACAGTTGCAACCGACGGCAGCCTATTGTCAGGTCCCGTCCTTTCAAACACTGGCTTAAAATTTTCCTTCCTTGGTCTCCTTATCTCTTCCTTATGAATATTTATATAAGATTCATCCAAGTATTGAATATTGTTTTCTTCGTGAAATATGTTTAAGCCTAGATCATCTTCAGGTAAGTCTGTTGTCGTACTCTCTGCTTTTGGCGGTGGATCCCATTTGAATCCTTCTAGAAGCTCGTGTGTGAATGACTCTAAGTCGATCTGTGAAAAAATGTGAATAATATAATTGCGTCCATATAGTCAATTAATTTATATGTTTATAAGGGGTATATGTTCACCAGAGATGGTTAAGGCGTGAAAGACATTGAAACATGTGTAAAGAAAAAGGAAAATGCGGTGAACGAGGCCATAAAGGGAGTATGTGCAGCCAGTCCATATCTGAGAAAGCACGAATGGCGGTATATAATGCTATGTTGGTCCCAACACTAAGGTAGGGGAGTGAGTGTTGGATATGGCAGAGGAAGCACGGGATTAAAGTGAATGCAATAAAAATGTGATCCCTCAGAAAAATATATAATGCGCGGTTATATAATATAGTAAAGAATACTGTGATCCGTGAACAATGTGGTTCACGGATCACAGTAGAAAAGAGGATGTAGTGACAAATATAGAAAACGGTATGTTGAGGTGGTTTGGGTACATGGAGCGGATGAATAAATGCAGATTAACAAAAGAATTATGTAGAGCTAACGGAGAAGGCATCATTGGAAGAGGACCGCCACGAAGAACATTCTCAGATCAAATTTAAAGTGTTCTTTAAAAAGGCTGCACGAAAAGATTGATGAATGTAAGGGAAGCAAGAGAGGCTTGTCAGAATCGTATTAAGAGTCGATCAATAGTCTTTTCCCATGATCATCTAGGGACGTGAGTATAAATAATTTCGCCGTTGCAACGCAGATCTTACTTTTGGCCGTAATTTACGTAGAGGCGTAATATTTGTTATACACAATGATGATGATTATTGAAGGTATTTCTAAAAGTTCTTCCAGCTCAGAGTTGCTTTGTGATTAATGAACTCATGCCTACGCAGTGGCAGCAGCGGGTAAAACAACAGCGTCAAAGTGGAGTAGGTCTGTTTTTGTCTACAGCCCCATTGTTTCGTCGGACCCGACCTGTCTATCCACTGGACATTGTTTAAATACACTTTTTAACCGAGAATTCAGCAATACTGCAGCATGATAATCCTATTTTTGAAGCACAGTTGAATATGAACCGTATTTTCTGCGGCTTTGTAAGCTTTGGTACATGATGAAAACGTTCGGAAAATATTTACCGCAATGAATTGAAAATATCACAACTCGTTTGTAGTGTTAAATAAATGTTATTTAATTCATAATTGCGCTATTCTGCCGCCTTTACTTAAAAGGGTGCTCGTGACAAAAACTCAAAACTTAAAAAGTAATGTTTATAGAAATCACATAAAAAAAATATTTACTTTTCTCTTACGATAACTTCATTCCTTATGCACATAGGAAGAAATAAAAATAGGTACAGATTGGCTTTTTCTTACTGATCACAGCAGTATACAAAACATTTTTTTCGAAAAAATGTTACAACCTTTCTACTAACGGCGGCAGTATTTTAAAATAAAACGAGAGCTTGTTTATGTTACAATGTCTGTGTAAACTATTTCAATTGTTAACAAGTTTAAGTTCGCGAACTTCGTTTCAACACCTACTTTGCAGCTCTTCTACAATAAAATCAATACTTTATACGGAGACTGTCTCCGCGGTTTGCAAAATGTATATAGGATTGTTTGGAATCTGAAACCAAAATAACGAAATAAATTCTATTGGTGTTTCATGCTACTAAATCATGTTCAAATCATTACTTGTATACATCATTTCTATTATACGCTTTGTTGAAAGAAGAATGAGATCTTTACCCGAATACATTTGTTGTTGTTTCGATTTAAAAGTCTTAATGGCTACGGCTAAAGATAAATAGTAGTTCTGTAGCAGACATTTTTGTGCGAGAACAAATAACCGAGTGTAGTTAAGGAGTCTGCACCACAAGTGTGCCAACGACCTAGAATTCTATTTGCTACATATGTGTGTAAGCATTCATTCTGACGTCACTGACACTATCCAAGTGTTGGTGACGGCGACGCCAAATCGTATCTGGCCACGCCAACGGAATTAACTTACGATTTTGACATTAACGAGTAATGAACGCATTGAGTATATAACCAGAAATAGAGACGAAATGTCATTGAATTTGTCAACTGCGCTCAGATTGGCCAGCCTGAATTTGAAACAATTGAAGAGTGTCGTCAATTGTTTCACTTCAAATCGTCCAGTTAACTTGAGCTTTGCTATATGGACGAAAATTGCAAAATTACATAATTAATGTTAATTATCGATGAAATGTGAACCGCTTGTCTTGTAATTAGACGTTTTGCTATTTTTCCCACACCACCCTATGGAACAGCCCCATTGTTAGGGATATTATCTTTATTACAAAAAATACAGAATATTTTTGGAATATACGGAGACGTACACACAGGTCAATTGTTGGCGCTGTCTTTATTTCAGTGCAAACGAGAGTAGATATTTATAAGTGAGGTATCACTGATGACTTACCTGTAATGTATGGCCCTTATTTCGTCTCTATTTCTGCTTATATACTCGATGAATAGACGTGACAACACGAGTTTTAGGAATCCATTTACACATCACACTGTTAATACAATATGTTTCTGTAATAGTCTGTGTATGGACTCTGTTATTGTTGATTCTCTTCTCAGTGACTTTTATCAAAATTCACCGGTCAATCTTTTAGTTAAAAATGCGTGCGTTCCTTTACTTGGCATTGGCGGATTTATCGATGGGGTTGTAACATAGCCATAGCATTCAAAAAAATAAAAAGGTAAAATACAATTTGTATTAACTTAAAAAGTGTATTTTTTCAGAATCGATGAAAAACTAATAACTAAATTCCAATGAAAGATTATTAAAATTTATGTGTAGCTTAAGTTTATTATAGACATAGGTACACAGTTTCCTACTTGACAAATATATTTAAAAATAAAAGGAAACAAATAATTTTACGTTTTTGAGTAAGGATTCTTTTAACCAGAATTAGCTCAAGAAAAGTTTGTATCACTTTGAGTTACATTTTTCTTTGTTCTTTTAATGTTTCTCACAATATTCTAACGACGTCAATACGACGTTTAGGGATTCAAATTTTAGGATCAATAATAGCATAATTTTGAATTTCACATATTTTGAGTTGCAATTACAATTACAATATTGCAATTGCAATTACAATAATGTTGAAACATTATTGTAATAGCAGTGCGATATGTAAATAACGTTTTTCCTTCACAACTGCTTTTCGTCCATTTGTGTCAAAATTAAGAGTGGGTGGAGTGGAGACGGAGGCCCGATTTCAGAAGCGTAGGCCGCCAGAAGGCGAGATTGACGGACGATATAGTCAAGGTGATCAAAAAGACCTGGATGCAAATGGCCCAAGATCGAAGAGAATGGCGTGCAAATGAGGAGGCCTACTCACATTCAGCAGTGGGTGACTAAATGCTGAAGAAGAAGAATATAATATAATACACGCCGAGTAAGGCGAAAGTGGCCTGTTAAGATTTCGCACATTCGAATCCCTTTGTCGACATATACATATAACTTTCATGTCTGATTTCTTGTGTGAAGGTGAAGGCCTTTTCTTATCTTACAGAGGGACAGGCGTGTAGCTTACCATCAGGCGCACGACTTGTTTGTCCCGTCACTAGACATTATAAAAAAAATGGCATAGGTATATGCAATAGGTATGGCAATGCTTGCCATCGTGGCGAAAGGATTTACCGATCAGCGTAAGGTACTCGCCGATTGTAGCCCAAAACACGCCAGACGTACAGAAAAGGAATGGTATGTACTAGGGTTGTTGCTGATGCAGGTTTTTACACATCAGCGGATGTTGATGCGGATGCTGATTTTATGCTGGCTTATTTAATACAACCGAAAGGACGTCTGTCGGATGTCCCAGGAACCGCTGGAGATGAAGTCCAGAAAAATCTCAAGGATCTCGATGCTAGTGACTAGAAGGAGCAGGCTCAGAACCGGGTGGCGTGGCAGAATCTGGTGTTGGAGTCCAAGATCCACTTTGGGTCACTGCGCCATCGATCGAAGTAAGTAAGTAAAAAAACGTGAAAAATTTACAGGCTTACTGAATACTGGTATTATAATATTTCAATGATTTTATGACATGTAAGAAACAATCTCCATGAAAACAATCAATCGGCTTAGCTTAATCGTTCTGGTATTTTATCAAAGTTGCACTTAAAAAAATCAACTAAGCTGCTTTTCGGCTTGCAATCTGTTTCTGGAAGGTTTGTAAGTTATTCCAGTGTTCCTTTTAGGTCATGTCACGACTCGAATGTCCGCAATAAATAGCAACATCGATGTATGCGGAAGCTGATGCAAATGCTGATATTCGCAACAACTCTGGTACATACCACTCGCGCGGGGAGGCTCCTTTCGTTCACCGTAAACAGCACGATTAGAACTGCACGTCGAAGAAAGTTAACAATCCCTGGAAAACGTGAAGTGTCTAACCCATAATAGGCTAGATCGGCGGACTGTAGTCTAAACCCTCTCTTCAGAAGGTACCAGGGCAGTAGGATCTATAGTGGGTTGATAAATAAGTATTGGTTTCCATAGTACATGCGCAGATGCGTTGTTCGAAAGACTACTATAATGTTGCGTTTTATAGGTTATTTACAAAGGTTATTATTATTTCATAATGTTCACGAAGTAAGTGATTTATCGGAGTAATACTTCAATCTCAGTTGACGTAGTGACCTCAATTTTCCTTAAACTAAACAAATTCCTGAAGTCAACTTTAGAAACTTTCTTCGTTTTGGTGGGAGTTAATTAATTCTTGACGCTTCTTTGCCAATGTAATCGCACTTTGAAAACAAAGACTACGGGTGTATTGGAGCGCTACGGGCGTCTTCAAAACGAAAGTTATTTTCGATATTAATGTTTGTTTTTTATAATACTAAGTGACGGGACGAACAAGTCGTGTGCCTGGTGGTAAGCGACATGCCTGTCCCTAATAATTGCAGTGCCACGCAGAGTTTTAAATCACAAAAATCTGAAATAAACAGTTACATTTCCAATGTGTGAAACAATCATGAAAATTTGAGATATGATTTCGATATATGATAATTACTTATAGTCTATTTTAGATTCTAACTTGGCCTAAAAGACGAATTTGGAATTTCTTTTAAAAGTACTGGCGGTCATTTCCCGCAATGACACAATCGGCCGGGGTCAGGGACCTACGTTCAAGAATCGGTGAACTGACTCCTTTTGTACTGGCAGTGACACGCCTCAGGAATCCAACCGCATCAAGTTGTTTGTAGAACTAGAATTAATCCACATACGGACAAAACAAATGGGTTTATTTCAGTGGAGTATCCACATGTTCGTAATCTGTTGCGCCATATTTCTCGAGATATTAATTAAGAACTCAAGGTGTATTGTCAATCCTTCTACACGGGTGGATTGTGGGTTGACTAGACGCAGAAAGTTCTCGGTGCGGTGCGTCACAGATTACTTAATAGTTATAAGGAAACAGATACATCACTCTCCTACAAAATCGAAAATACCTACGCTATAATAGCCTACTAAATCTAACTAATGACAGCAGGCGATCACTAAGGAGGAAAAAGAAACTTAAGCACGCGCACAGAGAGGTGAAAATCGAATGCTGAGGTTGTGCAAGCATTGTAATGTAAATAAAAGATTTGTCTGAGCGCTCGTACCGTCGGCGATACACTAAGCGGTAGGCACTTATCGTGTAATTTTGAGCGAGTGACGGAGCACTGTCTGCGTGTTTAATATAAGCACGGGTTCATAATGCGGTCGGGACTACCGCGGCACTGTAGCGCATTCTTGATGTTTGCTCATGCTAGAGTTGATGACTTTTATGCTGTGGTGTGAAAAAAGACTGCATCACTACTCTGGAGATTGCGTACAAGTTCTAACAGGCCCCTGAAAATGTTTACAGCTAAACTCGATGCGCCGATACTGCGTCATTTTATTCAGGTTTTAGTGACGTGAGGTTTATGTTTTGATCAATATAACAATAGACTTAAGTTTTAATTATTATTATTATTTTGTGTTACTAACAAGTGGATCCAAGACGTATAAATAAAAGATTTATTATTATAGCTATTAGAAACACGAGTTTCTAAAAACCTACGAAATTCCACCTTAATCATAGGTTATTTAAAATAATCTGAATCTCAGTCTCAATGTCTCAATAGATACGTGTGGAATTAATTGAGTTATGAATACAATAAAGATAAAACTATCAATATGTAAACGATAATACAGTACGGTTAACAACGTAGTGTTTACGGAGATTATAAAATTTGCAAATCAGGAATCTATAGAAAACCCAGCGAGACGTTTTTGGTCAAAGTTAGGCATAACGAGAACTAAATATTAATACAGCGTACTCTAAATTGAATCTGTGGAGCCGTTCCAACTTATAAAATATTCCTCCTCTTCGTTTGCTTATTGTTTAGTTACTAAAATGCAAATAGACTATTTTGCAAGATGTTGATTTATGACGAGAAACGTTGATGGATTTTTCGATTCAATCTGCGTTTCTTTATTTGAAAACCGAATTGGTGTTTAATCAAAGGTAATCCCTCAATTTATCTCTAGATGAAAATGGAACCTTCTGCGGCCGATCTGCGGGTTCTTGTAGTAGAACAGTCAAGATAAGTCTTACGTAAGCGTAAGAGACGTCGGTCTCGAGAAAGCAGGAAATTATTCCGCTTACAAGAGGAACAGTTGAACTGGGAAGTTAGATGACACTAATGTATGTCTTCAGAACGGAAATTTCACCAACTATCTTTATGATAGGAATCCCGTTACTTTGTCGTGTACGCTCTCTTAGTATTTTAAGAGTATATTAAAACCAATAAAATAGTTGGGTTAGTTTAATCGACATAGTCTCCACAAGAAAGATGTCTGTTCTGTAAACATTGTGGAGTTTGGTTTATTTCCCGGAGTTGAGCAACAATTTAGCGAGTAGCGACCAACTAGGATGTGGAACTTTACTTAGTATTAATTTTTAAGTATGTTTGAAGCTGTTTGTTACCTCATGTCCATTTAAAGCGAAGGTGAGGTTGGCAGGCGGGTGCGCGGGGGGCGAGGCGCAGGTGGCGCGCAAAGTGGACCCCACGCCGTACCATGACCGATCTGACACCAGCTTGGGACCCCATTCCGGCTGCTCTGCAATTAAATACACATTTACAACCAAATTCTATCAAAATTACCCCTCTGCAAACGAATTCTAATTTGCTGTTTGCATAATTGATATTTTAACCAAAACGATTTCGCGGAACGGACGTGGTATTACCAAATTGTGTCTTTCAAACATACTGACTGTCAAATTTCGTCTAAATTCTTGGAAAACAAAACGGACGTTTCATTTCTTCAAACTTGCCAAAGTGATTCATATTCGATATATTATGTATAAAATTGTTTCATGAACCCAATGAAACCCCCGCTGGGTAGTGCAGGTCATGAATTTTCATTAAGTTGTTGTTCCAAGTTTCTAAACTTTCGCATCAATCATCCATTTCATTGTGAACGGAAATAAAACCGGATTTGTGTTTGCAAAACAAATCATAATTGTTGATTGTTACTTGCTGGCTGGTAGGTCCATTAATAATAACTCCCTTCATTGAACCGCTGTCCACAAAACATTCACAAAAACATGAATTTTACCTTAACCTTGGCTAATAGCCAGAAAAGTATAATGGGAAAAATACAATGTATATTAAAATGTACTAAATATAATGATGTCCAAGTATATATATATATCTATATATATATATATATATATATATATCACTTATTGTATAAAAAGCCTATTTTTCTAGATACCCTATAGTCATATAAAATAATATATATAGCGCTAAATGTGAATGCGATGTTTTCATTATAATATACACTGATCATAAGAATAATACAGCCACTTCATGCATTACATACATTTTGATGTACACGGGGCTTTAGGGGGATAATATTATTATTTTATTATTGCGAAATGTCATTGCAGCAGCATAAAAGTATACCAAAGCACATTGTTATGGGATAGTGAGACTGACTTAATTTCATATTAAAGCCGCGAAACTCCGCCAACATAAATATTAGGCATTGTGTCTTTATCATACAATCCCGCAATATCTGCGATCTCGTAGCGGCCACGAGCAAAACGGATGCCGCTGCCAGAGGTCAGATAATCCGTTTACACAAATCGAAACGGTTAATCTCTTCTTATTTAGGTGTGCTCCGTCGTTCACGTTTAATGCCGGTGAACGGGTCCATCACACGTCTGTTTACCTTTCTCTTGAAACCACTTACGTGTCTCGAATGGGAACAACTCATGTAATGATGTATTTCACACATTCCATCACGTCTTCTATCAACTTTGAGTAACTAAAAATCCGGGATAAATTTCAGATAAGAGGGAAAGATCCACAAAAGACAAAGTTGGTACGTAAATGCGATACTAAAATAACAAATGGAGTATTTTGCGGTTTATTTATTGAGTTTTTGGATTATTGTTTCTTTTGTTCCTTTTTGTTTATTTTTTCGGTCCAAATGCTTTAGCGGAACTTTTACCGTTTCTCATTTCTTAAGTGTGGACTAAAATATTGTGATAAACTTAAGATATAATAATTTAATAAAGTGGCGTAAGAAAGCCAAGTCACGCTGCTGTAGATGGACAGTATGGCGCTAGACCAATTCTTTAGCCTTGTGCTAAGGATTGACTCATTTTAGCGAGGACGCTAAAATGGTATCAAAGCATTTCGTAACAACAGATTGTCGAGTTTATAATGTCGTGTCTTGTATATTTAAATGAAGTTGTTCATACATAAAACAACACGATTAATTGTCCTTCACGACTTTTTTGACGTTACGACGACAGATTGTCGTGACAATGGGAAGAGTTAGAACGACAGTCGTCCAACGATAAAATTTATATATTTATTAATTTAGTTTTATCTAATAAAACGTTACGATAAAAATGTGACGACAGATAATCGCAACTTCAAACGATTCTGTATTGCAAATAACAAGGCGGTTGTCGTGAACCGATAAATTGTCATCACGATCTGGGGGAACAGCTAGACACGACTGTCGTTCATCGATAAAATAAACGTCTACGACACAGTCACGACAGATAATCGTAATATGGGAACAGGCTAGACGCGATAGTCGTCCAACGATAAATAAAACATTACGACATAATGGGAACGCGCCCTAAGAGCGACTTTGATTGACAACGCAACGTGAACCCGACGACGCAGCGAAGCCAGTTTCATTCCAGTCAGTACGCGGGGCATTCGATATCATTGTAGATTAAATAACACAGGCAGAATCATTGACTTACAATTATATGGACGTCGGGTCCGCGCTAAAAAGTGTCCGCACTTGTAAGGCGCTAAAATCGTATACAGAGCGCGACACTCCGCTTTAGTCTTCATTTGTTCTACTGACAGCGCGATACTGCGATGACATTACAATTTAAATTTCGAATAGGTTGACTTGGGACATTTTTTTCGTGGTTTTTGTATTAGACCCGTCGTCCATTTATTTGTAAGTCAATGGGCAGAATACATGCAGAATATCGAACAAATAATAACAAAATCGAATAACTTAGGAAAAAATAGCGGCAATATAACTAGCCTTTTACTGTAATTCTTAATAAAACCTTGTAAAATTTACGTTATATGATGCATAAAGAAAGCAACCAAAACTGAGCCGCCTTACCGTCCGCAACACATGTGCTTGTGGCTAAGTGACATCTCATAATTGACTAATTCAAAGCTTGGACCTTGATTTTAGAAAACGATTACACGACACACGATTACACAGTTAAACGATGTATCATTGAATGTGAGTTAAAGCAACAATTACAGGTATTGGTTGTATTGAGTAAATGGCGTGATTAATGCCTATAACGAAAGGCTACGACATACGGCTTTTAAATTAATTTCTTTTTTTATTTATTACAAATAAAAATCATATGAAAAATGTTTTAATACAATGTAACATTAGCTATGTCATTTTCTCTTACATTGATAAATTCGTCGGCGGTAATCTGACTGCACTTGTAAGTATTCTGGTAAAAAAAAGTACGTTTAGTAAAGCTCCTTGTAAAAGAGTTCGTCCAGGAAAGTCCTGCCACCTTACCTATTTCTGCCGACAAGCAGTAATTGCAAAGCATTACTGTGTTCCGATTTTCAAGATTAAGAGTAATTTCACAAAAAATAATTTAATATCAATTCAATATAAATTTAAAATGAGATTACATATTGTTTGTTTGCATGTTGATGCGACTGTGTGAATGCAACCGATTAACAAATTAAATAGTGTGTTGTTTTTCTATTAAGTTAGTTTCGTAATTTAGTATTTATGTGTATAATATAATAAATATACATATTACATTTTCACAGACAAATAAAATAGATTAGAAACTAACAAGAGTGCTTGGGAGTACTAAGCTGTTAAGATACTGAGAAGCTACTTGTTGCTCCTGTATTCATATAGATAAATATATAAATCGTACACAAACTGAATATGTACACAGACCTGCATATACAAACAAACACAAAAAACTAACACTACATTTGTAGGCCTGTATTTCCGGACGCCAGATCTCAATCTCTTAGAAATAATAGATACATGGGTAATAAATATTACTATCGGTAACATTACCGCAATAACTGCACGCTTGACTCAAAGGTGTAAGAATAATAAAAAAACGTGTTCAAGGTATAACAAATGAAAATAAACACTTTGTTTTATCTGTATTTGTGTCATTGCATTGCTCTGGTGCTCATTTATCCTATTTTTTTTTTTAAGTAACTGATTATTTCTCTATAAACGTACAATTGTTTTGCTTACTATTCTAAAGTCATGCGAGTAATCTTTACAAATAAGATACAAATAAGATAGAGCACTTTAGTTAGCTTCCCACGTTAATCTACATCAATTATGTATTAATTAATATATCAAATATCGTGAAATTACAGGCACATGGGACTTGTCAACTTGTCTCTGGGTGACGGGACCGTACTTTTATATGAAACCGAATGCAGCGCAAACTACGCAACTCAAACTACGCGACTCAGAACTCACAAAATTACGCTCGTCTGGCTTCACACTAAACGCTCCATGCATAATTGCCGCATTGCCGCAGTGGCAGTGCCCCTCAGATCTTTCCGATTTGAAGCTCTGAGTGGCACTGCAACTGTCATAGACAAGCGTGTAGCTTACCATCGGGCGCACGACTTGTTCGTCCCGTCACTTGATATTATAAAAAAATATATAATATATATTACCACATACTACTACTCTGAGCAGACATTATCTCCAGTTCAGTTTCATTTGCGATCTTTTCCGCAATATTTGTCGGTACTCCATTCAATACATCGGGGAGTATGTATCCCACTGGTGGGCACAGGCCTCCTCTCAAAATGAGAGGGTTTGGTCTGTAATTTCCACGCGGGCCCAACTTGGATTGGGAACATACACACCATCATCACTAAATTGCTTTGCAGATGTTTTTCTTTTTCGACGTGTAGGTTTCGTCACAATGTTTTCATTTTCTCAATTTCGCTCATAAATTGAGAAAGTGCAAGAGGTGCAAGACTGGATTAGAACCCGTGACCTTCTGCTTGACAGATGGTAGGTCAAACCATTAGGCTACCACGGCTGCTACTCGTAGCACAAGTAATCCTAGTTTGCGACCAGGTTATCTGTCATTTCTATTATAATTAAGACGGTAAGTGTTGTACCCAGCCCGGATTATTAATACCTATCTAAGTTCCTGAATAGACTTTAGAGTGGTATAAATACACCTTCTATCCTATAACAGGCTAAGGACCGCCTGTAATGAAATTGCCGGAAGGTGGCACTCGCCTCCATCGCGTTGTCTAAAATAAAGGTCACCTTTCCTTTCTGTGTTTAATAAAAGAATTCCGCTTTTCATTCCTCTTGCCAAAAAAGGTTTGTGAATCTGGAAAAAGAAGTCTTATATGTTTACCACAGCCGTATATTGAAGTCGTATACATTCGTTAGTGAAAAGGAAATTTTAAAATTTTTCGTAACAATCTGATTTTGTTAAGTTGTGCCTTTTCATTCACGAGTTCCTCTTATTCTTGTTTTCAAACTTGAGTTAAGCGTTTTTTTTTTTCTGGTCTTTGTAACATCGTAAAAAAACTAATCGTTAAGTAGCTACGTAAAGAACGATAAAATACGATTTTACATAATCTTAGTACAGAGTACTAAAAAAACCGACCTCAAAAGTACGTGGAATTACGTCTATTTACTAAGTTTTATTGAAATATCCCCTTTCGCCACTATACAGGACTTGACACTGAAGATCAACCATTAAAATAATTGCTCCTTAAGTAAAATTTAGGCGCTATGTATAAAAATGAATCATCATGCGTGAACAGCCACCCTTAGAGGTGGGTGATTTTCTTCAAACTGAAATGGGACCACTATGGAAGTACCCCCTTTCCAACAAAAAAATAATCATGAAAATAGGTTCACGAATAACGGAGTTATCGCGTAACATACATACAAAAAAACATACAGTCGAATTGAGAACCTCCTCCTTTTTTGAAGTCGGTTAAAGAGATAATAAATTTCATTTCGGTGCGTATTTTTTTTATTTGACCGTCGATTTCGTTGTGCAAACAAAATGGAGCTGGTACGACTTGATTATCCTGCCATTCTATGTATAATCATATTTTTCCCCCATCCAATTTATTCTACCGACTAATAATAAGCCTTGGAAAGCATATAACAACATTCGACTTGCAAGGTTTCGCTTCCATCAACATTTATGTAATTTTATTACATTGTTGAAAAAATATATCCATAGTCTGATTTTATTACATCATTTTTTATTAAGAAAGAAAAATAATACACATGCGACGTTGTTATTACAGCTTTTTGAACATGAAATTACTGTATATGATGATATTTTGGCATTGTTATATTTTTTTAATAAATAAATTCCTTTTGTCAAGGCACCGTTACTGACTTACTAAAAATATAAAAAGGGTGATCCCACGTACTGAGCTACCGACCTATAGCATTTTTTATCCAATATTTGAATCAGCAATTTCACAAAGACAAAATACGTATCTTTTATAAAAACTATAATATGTGACATGAGAGTTATCATGGAGTCAGGAAATATTGATACACAATGTACAATCTTCACAGAAGCAATATAGCATTAGTGTGAGAGAGACAGCATATTAACTCAAATATTTTCGCGGCATGTGGTTCTAAAACGGCCTCACATAAAACAGAGTATGGATCTACAGTGACTGCATCTTCAAGATGATAGCTAATAAGTTCGAATGTCCTTGGACATCGAAGCTTACTCATAGGACAAAATCATTGTTAATATTATTAAATACTATCATAGACTAAGTGTAATTGAATGGCCCGGTTTAACAAATCCCTAAACCCGTTTAGCGATTTTATGCACTATTACCACCATTGGCGAAAACTCAACATTGTCTATGGTTTAGTCTCACCTGGTTTTGTTTCTAAATAGTACCTATGCCATGTTTTGAAAAATTATTAAACTCCCAAGACCAATGAGTTGACTTCAAGATCAACTTAAGTCCAAAAATCCCTTAGTCCATCTTTCTTTATATAAACATCACTAAGGTGATACTCAAGGATTTGAACCTCTTGAAATACGTACCCATTCGTTTGCTATTTTTTATGAAATTAGTACTCAAATTGCAGATTACTCTGAAGATGAAACAGAAGAACAGGGTGAGAGTCAGAATGGCGGGTGTACCTTAACAGATCCTGACAAATTTGGTACCAAAAAAATTTACCTAAATTGCATTATTTTGTACCTCTGTTTAAAAAATGTGTACCTCCAACGGGACGAAGTTATAGCAATATAAAAGGTACACCGCCATATTGACAGTCAATATGGCGGGTGTACCTCAGATTACCAGTTTTTATTTGATAACTATAAAAACATATTATTCCTTATTTTTACCTTAATAGTACTCTAAAGTAAAAGAAACTCCAGTTCGATCTGCTGGTTAGTTTCTGAGATATAAAGCTAAAATTGTGCCATTTCAGAGTGTCGTGGCATCTTAACGAATCGTAACAAATTTAGTACCAAAAAATGTACTTAAATTGTACTATTTAGTACCTATTCTCTAAAAAATTGTGCCTCTGTCAGAACGAAATGGCAAAATCAAAATTGTAAATATTTTCGTATTTTTTTAAATAAATTTCTTTTTAAATTAAAATGAAATGATAACTTTGCTGTTGTCACCTTAGGAATGATAAATTGTTGTGATTTATTACTATAATTCCCCAAAAACGTATCAGCAAATGTTTTCATTTTATTTTATAAGTAAATTTTAGAATGTGCTATCAAAAACAACTAAAAGTGCCATTTTTGCAAAACTACATATGATCATAATTATTAATACAAAGATCGAACACTCAGAACAAAATCCTTCGATCCGGCCGGATTCGAACCGACGTCTTCTAGTACCGTGCCAGACGCTATACCAACTAAGCCACGGAACGAATCACCGGATCTCACGAATTTTTCTATGTGCTTGATTTTTTTTTAATATTCCTGATGCTTTTTTTAAAGTTATATATACTAATTTGCTATTATTTAGCTCGATTTCATATACACATGAATGGGAAAGGAAGGGAAAGGGAAGTTCGTTCCATGGCTTACCCCCGTTCACACGGCATTGTACTGCACGTTTTTTTGCAGTATAAATCCGAACCGAATAAATCGGACCGAACAAAACGGTGTTTGTCCTGCAAAAAATCGCACAAACATACAAACGCACATCGAATACTGCAAAAAAACAGCATCTGAGACGGTTTGCTGGGAGACGTTAGTTTTAACTGTTCGATCTTTGTTTAATTAATAATTATAACAAACTAGTTGAGCAATTTCATAAAAATTAATATCATGGTAGTGAAATATCCCGACAATAAAAATAAATAAATAAATAAAACTTTGATAGCGAAATTAAATTGAAAATTAGACGAGTGGCGCAACACCTATTGTCCATGATTAGTGGGGCAAATTCTATTAATTAATAATACGAGTTGTTTTCAGATATTACTATGATATTAAAAAACTGATTTAAATATGATGTGGTTCAGTCGATATATTGTAACATTGTTTCTCGATTTCACCAATTGTGTCCCACCACTGGTTAATAAAGTTTGACATGCATGTATGTGCTGTATGGCACAACGCAGGTTTGTGATTTATATGTACATAAACATTATTATTATTAATTTCTTAATAAAATAAATTAATGTTATGAAATAGTAAAACATAATATTCATTATATAACGCACACACTCAACATAGCCCCGCACTAGGGAAACCCTGTGTCGCGGGTGCCATGGACACACACATAGACAACCACAAATTACACCCAAACTCACGAGAGAAATAATTGTAGGCCATACAACTATTTCTCTCGGCCCGGGAATCGAACCTGGGACCTCTGCGTGGCAGTCCGGCATGGTAACCGTTCGGCCACGGAGGCAGTTAAACATCAACATGTATCATATCCAGCTAAATTTAACGGAGTATAAGAACCGTAGTTTTGGGGAATAGTCCACTAACAGCCGGGGTGCATTACGTAATAAATTGCAGCCGTGCCACATCTAAGTATCCTTCGATAGGGAAGTTTCAAGACTTAATGAAGTCTATAATAATGTTGAAGTATATAATGTACTTACCAACTACTTCCAAAGGTGCTGAACGGATATCAGTGTGGAAGGTTGGCGCGTCTGCTGAGACCTCGCAGCGGAAGCGGCCAGCCATGGCTGGGGTGGCCTGCTGCAGCACCACCCGATGGGCCCCAGAACGGGATATCTGTATAAAAGGATAATAAATAACTAAATTTGCCATATAATCGCACCCAATACCTAAACTCAAACTAGAGAGTTCTATATTTTGAGTAGATACAATAGTATAGAAATTTTTTCACTGTACCAAAAAGATATAAATAAATAAATAAGACGGAAATCAGAAGGAATTAGGAAATTTTCCTAAATACTTACTTCTTTGGATCTTTTAAAACTCTTGAAAACATTTCTTACAGGATGCCAGAACAACGCTAACAACCAAAAAGAAAAGATATAAAAAGATAAGTAAAGGTAAGTACTCTCCAATGTTCAAATTTCGGAACTAAAACTTTCTTAAGTTAAGAGTCTATTTGAATGGCAACAATTTTTTTGTTTGTGAATATTTACCTTTTCTTGTACTGATTTATTTTGGTGTTTATTGTATATAATGTTTTTTTCTCTTACCTAATTCTTCTTATCGCATCATTGGCATACACTATAACGCTTGCTGTAGTATCTTAGACTATGAAAACTTATGGACATGTTATGTTGACATATATAAATCAGACGTTATATGTATATGATGCATTTCGACGTCGAAAACATAAACATGTTATTGTCTTTGTTTAACTATTGCGTGCCGTCTTAAGCCAAAAAAGATAGCATTACATTGGTCTGTGTCAAATACGGGAATCGAAAATACGTAACGTCATCTTAAATGCCGACTGTGTCCATTTCGCAATACATGAGGTACATGATACGGTTGTCAAAGGGAAGTATATCAAATGTTAAAACAAATGTTTTTCCAAATGTTTTATTGAATTATTCACATGTATTGTAATAAAATGGACAAAAATATTGACAGTGAGAACAATTAAGTATTAATAAAATTTCGTCGCTGCAGCATTACAGGGTGTGGTGTTTGCGATTGTGGTAAAAGCGAAGATCGACCGAATGTTATTTTTTTCACGTGTTATTTTTTTGTCTATAAATCATACAAAAGACCAAATATCTCATGTAATTAGACATATTTAAGTAGTTTATTCATAAATTTTGCGAAATTTTGCTTTTTTTTCTTCAGATTACCTGTTTGTTTGTATATTTTGATGATTGCTGTTAACGATTATTTTGAGATAGTGTTATTGTTGGAAGCGTAGATATTATCGATATTCTGTTATTAAAATAGTTCACTACGAGGTTTTTATTATTTTTTCAATTTCAAGTTTACCTACAAATCAAAAAAGAAAATAGAATGGTTGGAAATCATACATTGAATCAAATACCATCTTCATTTATAGATAGCCTATTTGCCTTGCCTTGCCTTATCATCGTTCGGTGTCACTCGCCTAGCTGACCGAATGAAGGCTAGCGCTAACATGTATAGAGCTCGTTTGACGTGGCTTGTCACAACTCACAGTCGCTCGTGACTACTTGTCTCACTTCGGAGAAGTATCGATTTTTCTGCACAAATCGAAGGCGCTCGACCAATAGTAGTCAATTGATATTGTATAATCAGACATTTGCATGCTATTGAATATACACATGTTTATACTAACAATGTTTCTTGTTACATCTCCTGTTATACCATGTTATAAGCAAATAAACATGTGATAATAATATTATTATTGATAATATTACCAATTTCATTTATTTCCAAAATTAAATCTAATTATTAAAGATTCACTTAAATCAGTCACTGATATTAATTCTATACCAATGCATAAATACAAAAAAGCTTACACTATTTGGAATCTGTTTAAAAATGTCTCTATGAAAATATGAATCTTGAGGTTGGAAATGTATAAGGGTTTATATATCGAGTTCTTAGGTTTTCGCGATTGTTACACATAGGAAATGAAACTATTTTTTCGTATTTAAATCGCGTATATTTGTTTTATCAAACAAACCGACGTTTCGGGCACTTTACAGGTCTCGAACTCGGTCCCAGGTCAGTCAACCGTGACCATGGGACCTGTATAGGGCCCGAAACGTCGGTTTGTTTGAAAAAACAAATATACACGATTAAAATCCGGAAAAATAGTTTCATTTCCTATAGGGTTCATATTTTAAAGTTTTCTCTCTTTTATATACTCTCAAATTACAAATATTATTTTTTTCTGTGCAAATTTACTTTTCGTAATATTTGAGTATTTGTAAATGCAAAACATTACATCAGATATTCTCATAATAACCTAAAATTTTCCTAAATGGAATATTGATCTATTTTAATTAACTGTTTGCATGTCGATAATGACATATCGAATGGTATGACACTAAAGAAATCCGCCATTTGTTCGTTCAATTTTTGTTTAGGTATGCACGTTCATTCCGTAGTTAGGGCAGCACCTTTCTATGATTATTTTTATATCCTCTAAATGTAGTCTATAGATATAGTGTACCATAGACAATAGATAATATAAGTTACGCTGCGAGCCGCTGTTTCCGGCGTTACGACATTAGGCAGAGGTGTGAGCGGACGGACGTTTCGCACGCGTATGTGAAGTGAACAAATGTTTCTTTATTTATTTATTCTCGCCGATTGTTGCCCAGGATTAGATATGGGAAAAACTGCTTATTTTTTTAAACGTCTAAACGTTATGCTTTTAAAAAAAAGCGTGCTTTTTTAAACGCTTTTTAGTTTCAAGCTAACAAAATCGTTTAGAAAACGTTTAAGCGCACAGACTTTTATTTTTATTTTTTTTATTTGTGAAATGCAAGAGTAGACCACTAAAGGTTTTAAGATAAGTAAGTTTTTTTGTAAAAAACGAGTTATAATTTTATTTATGACACAACATTATTATATTAACATTTTGTTCATTGGCATTTAAAAGCGTTCAAAAACATAAGTTGTTTAACTTTTGCAGTTGTTAACCGTTGAAATGGAAAAAAACTGCTTATTTTTTTAACGTTAAAACGTACGTTTAAAGAGCGTACTTGTAAAAGCGTAGCACTTAAACGTTTTTTAGTTTGACGCTTAAAAAGTCGTTTAGAAAAACATTTAAGCGCATAGACTTTATGTTTAAAAAAGCTTGCAACGTTATGTTGAATTAATTTGTTATGGAAACATAGATGGCGCTACTTGAAACTTAGGTACGTTGTTAAAAATGAAATTGTTGAGTATCTATAGAACTGACCAACGCTTACGCTTAAAATTAAAAGCGTGCTTATGCGCTTATTTCAAAAAGCAGACTTTTTTAAGTGCCGTTCGTTTAAACGCCCACCTCTATCCAGGATGCGCCAGACGTAAACGAAAGGTATGATATGCGGAGCAGGGAGCTTTCTTTCGTGGACGCCTTTCTATTGAATGTTTCATACGAGTAGTAATGTATTGGGTTGGGAAACAAGATTTCATTAATTGTGTATTGGCCATGTTTATCTACGATCGTTTGCTATCGTTCGGGTAATTTTCGAATTCCCTTTTCATAAAAATCGATTCTTTACTTATAAAATACAGCCCCAAGTGTCGTTTGATGGTTTCTTCGTTATCAAAGTTCACACAAATCTAATCAGTGAATGAGTGAATTAGAACATCTACGGAACAAGTCAATATCTGAATGTCAAGTGGATCCCGTGGATGAGATAACACATTCGATCATTTACTGCACTAGTTTTTGATGGCTTTGTAAAGATTTGCGTAGTTTGGCATTATTATGATGAAATACGACACCTTTACAAATCACAAGTGCTGGGCGTTTTTCATTAATTATAAAATAAAAGCCTTCCTGTCCGTTCGGCGCCTCCTTGAAATGCGCGCTATAATGTAATTTTAAAATGACCATAGATAATCTTAACATTTTAAAAGAAATAGTTCTTTTTTCTTTTTTTTTGTACTGTTTTTTCCATTGGAAAAGCCAAAGGCACTAAATGCTATACAGCCAAGACTGAGAATAATTTCTTTCTTGGATTCCATCATTGACCTACCAATAAATGGACGTCGGTTTCGCGCTAAAAAGTGTCCGCGCCTATAGGGCGTTAAAATCGCATACAGAGCGTCAATCGCGCAACAGTCTTTGTTTGTTTGACTGACAGCGCGGTCGTCAATCATGCAGTACCATATAATAATAACTTGTAAAAATTATACAGCAGTAAAGTGTAAAAACAGTATTTTGTATCATATTTTCACTAAACAAATATATTGTGTTATCATAGTTTCATTTAAAAGTGTTATTTTGTACAGTTTTATAGTATTTAATTTATTAAATTTATATATAAATGAATCGTAAATATAAATTACACAAGCACACAAAATAGTCAAATAGCTAATTGTCCTTTTTCTACACATTGCATGCGCAAAAGATGTTAAGAGACCCATTACGTCAATTTCAAGAAGCTTATATAAACTTCTTGGTTCAAATCTTCAATTGTTCGAACCACAAGCGATTGAAATATTTAGAACAAAGAAACTATAGAGTCGCTTTGATTTTCATGTTATTTTTTAAATGATTTTTTATTAAATGTGTTTTACGGCTTGGGATTACCTATCAGAAGTAAAAAAATACATTTGACCGAAATAACGTTAGCTCGAATTTTCATAATGTCAAGTGTATTTTTTTAGGAAAATTACAAAACAAAAGCTAATTTTGTCTTTGTGAAAAGCATCAAAATTACTCGAAAGCGTAACGGTTTTATTATAAAACGGTCTTCGGAATTACCGATATTTGAGTTTACGTTTAGTTGGAATATCGGTACATTTCTTATAGTACACGCTCATTTTCACATTTGTAGTAATATTTGTATGTATGTATCTGCCCAACTCTTTATTAATATTTTAAGTGAATTTGACATAATAATATATATAAAAATTTATTAATATTTACAATATAGGCTACTCCATTACTCTTGTGTTCAAGTAATTTTCAGTCGAAGCTAAATATGGTACATTTTGTTAAATTTCCAATAGAAGCTGAATATGGTGTTTTTTGGGGCCCTTAAATTGTTGCAAGCAAAATTAGGCAGTACTGCAATGACGTTACAATTTAAATTAAATGTTTTAGTTTTTTATATTTCGTCACATGTAACTACGTTTGTATAGGTTAACTTCGGACATTATTTTCGTGGTTATTGTATTACACCCGATGTCCATTTGTTGGTAGGTCAATGGATTCACTACTGAGGTACTTTCTTTCCAACAAAAGAAATCATCAAAATCGGTTCACAAATGCTAGTGTTAACACGTAACGTACATACAAAACGAAAAAATACAGTCCTTTTTTTGAAGTAAGTTAAAAATAATAGTAAATAATAATTTATTGAATATGTCGTGAAAAGTTCCTGTGGTCTGGCTGCACTCGATCCAGTGCATGTTGCTATAACAGAGCCATCGCTCTTAAGCAACTGAGGGAAATATGGAAAATTCGTAAGATCTGTTGACTGGGTCTGTAGGTCAGTTGATTGAGATTTTGATTAAAAGCGATAGTCCCGGCATAAATAAATAAATAAATAACGTACACACTCATAGCCCCACACTAGGCAAACCCTATGTAACGGGTGCCATGGACACACACTTAGACAGCCACAAATCACACCCAAACTCACGAGAGAAGTAAATATAGACCATACATTTAGTAGCACTAGAGCTCCTTGTGAAAGAGTGCGTCCAGGGAAATACTGCCACCTTACCTATTTCTGCCGCCAAGTAGTAATGTCACCATTACTGTGTTCCGGTTTTGAAGGGTAAGGATGCTGGTGAAATTACAGGCACATGGGGTTTGACAACTTATGTCTCAGGGTGACGGGCGCAGTGGCAGTGCCCCTCAGATCTTTGCGATTTAAAGCTTTGAGTGGCACTGCAACTCCTATGGACAGGCGTGTAGCTCACCATCAGTCGCATGACTTGTTCGTCGATTTAAAAAAAAAAATTACAAATATTTCTCCCGTCCCGGGACTCAAACCCAGCCAGCATGCTAACAGTGCGACCACGAAGGCAGTTTTACAGGAGGCCACTGCATGGCAACAGACACTGATTCGAGTCCCATCAGATGTGTGGAATTTTTCTTTGTGTTCGGATCTTTGTATTAATAACAGGAATATTAAATAGATGACGTCAGAAATCAAAATTGCGGAAATAAGTTGAGGTGTGATTATGGAATTATAATGATAAATTACCACGTAATCATCTGTCATAATAACTACAATCATATTATATTGTTTGATATTATTGTTGATGCGATTGACCGTATCTACTCTAATCTTTGAACGCTCAAATATTGCGCAAGATTTTACAGCAAGCTAGTTCAGCGCATGATATTATCGCGTGTTTTATAATAGAAATGTTGACATTGTTAATATAACTTGAAAAAAACGAATAGTTTCAATGATAAATAGGACACATATTTGCTCCAATGAGATTTTTCGTTTCACGATTAAATTGCTAAGATCTGAGGGGCACTATCACTGCGCCATTAACTCTGAGACATAAAGTTGAAATCCCACGTGCCTATAGTTTCACCAGCACTACTATTGTTCAAAACCGGAACGCAGTAATGCGCACATTACTGCTTGGTGCCAGAAATAGATACGGTGGCAGTACTTCGCTAGAGGCACTCTTTCGCAAGGAGCTCTACTGCTACTAATAAGTTTTTAGTTTTGACAGCGTATGTAAAGAACATAAAATAGAACAGTCAGGGTCAGATAGTGACCAACATCGGAAGACTTTTTTTTAACGCACACTCTCATAGCGCCGCACTAGAGAAATCTGTCTCACTGGTGCCATGGACACACATGTAGACAACTATGAATTACACCCAAACTCACAAGAGAAATAAATCTGGGCTATACAATATTTCTTCCGGCCGAGAATCGAACCCGGAACCTCTGACAGACCAGCATGGTATCCGTTCGGCTATGGAGGCAATTTTAAATCTAGAATACAAAGAAAGATCCAATAAATTATAATAAGCAACTTTAAAGTTCGTCAAATAAACCATATTATAGGTAACACGAAAAAAATGATACAAAGATGGAAATGGGTATAACATTTCATAAAAATAATAATTATAATGGAAAGGCAACTCACAGCACTTCTGTCGTATTTCCTCATTTAATAGGTACTTTGAATAGAAATTAAAGCCAGTGCTTCATTCTAAATCTAAGGAGAAATTGTTTTCGGTTTTATGTGTACATTACTACCTAATCATTTATGTAATACTAGCTTCGTAGCACCTTAAATTCTTGTAAAATGAGAGACAAAATACTCCGTAGTATCAATAGAATACTGAGGAACAACGACGTTTTCTAGAATTCTGAATAATATCGCATCGTCAATGCGCACATAAAATATTATTCTTGGTATGAAGATGTTATCTAACATTCTTGGTTGAAAGATTTGGATAACATATGTACTCGAAACATAATCGATAGAAACACGGGTTGGATGTTAATCCACACATATTAAGATAAATACGGAAACTCCCGCCTGTTTGGCGCATCAGTGCCTACGTTTCGCTTGGAGCCTAGGATTGGCACATTAGTATTTTAGTTGAATCTACAGGTTGCAAATATATGTAAAAAAAAATTGAGGTGTTCGTCATAATAGCGATAATGAACATTACGGCAACTTTATTTTTTGGTAATTTCTGTTATTATTGTAAACAGCCATATTTATTTAGTAAAATTATGTTCCCGGAATTTTGTCAAAAAGAAAAATAAAAAAAAACAAAAAAGAATTTTGTAAAAAAAATAAAGAAACAAAAACAAATTAAAAACAGAACAGGTCCAAAAATTAAGTTGACGTAGTTTTCATTGGAGGTATCGGTATGCTCGTGTTATATTGAAATAACTTTCGTTAAATGCAGTACCTAAATGAAATGCAGTGCGCATTATGTTTGCGTATTTACAAGATTATACGTAAATACAGCACCGCGGATTGATATTACGATTAGGGAGTATTATGATAGAGAAAAGAAATGCTGCACGAAATCGACTCACTCTTCTTTTAACCACCATAAACACAATCATAAACACGTCTGCTATCTGATGTCATTTTTAAACTACCGGGCAAACGCTTCAATTCTGCAATGAATGACGCGTGCTACGACCTATGCAAGGTGAGTGTAACGCGGGATTATGCGAATGTGTGCGTCCGTACAAGGCGCGTGGTAGACGTGTACATTTGCAAGCCGCCAGTTGCGTTTGTATAGAGTTACCCTACTGATGTTTATTTACTATCGATAAACAAATGACCTAGAAACCTTTTTTTTTTAATTACTTACATCAACTTCTATTCCAGGTAACGGAAAAACTCTAGTATGGGGTAGTTCCTTCGGAATGTATCTGTAGAATTCTTCCCTGCCGCGGTACCACTTGACACTGTACAGGGCCTCTTCGTCTTCCAGCTGCCAGCTGCATTCCAGTGACACTGTCTCGCCTACTAGCACTGCGCTCGGCACGGTGATCTCCAGGTTGTGAAGACCACGCACTCCTGTAGGCAATATTTTCATGATCATCATCCTACTACAGATTTTTGTTCGATACCTCTTCATCGTCATTCCAATAATCGTTCCAATATGATTGTGGTTCTACCACGTCGTAATATACACATCTAATAGAAGAGCTTCAGCGACTACATATTCATTATATTTTGTTGAAAATTCATATATACAGGCAATACTAATAAACGGGCATTATTCATACGGACCGGCCATTAAGAATAATGACCAAGAACATCGGCTAAATTGATAAATACCTTTGGCCGGTCCGTATTCATAATGTTCTACCATCCGTGGTGCATTGAATAAATCGATGTTGATCATGGCGTGAATTTGTCACTTGGGCCGAGCGGTATGAATAATTAGTACTGAACTTAACCAAAATTCTACAGGTGTTTTATTACTTTGACCAAGACAGAATGTGTAACACGCTGATCGGGAAAACTAGTTAATCATGCATTTCTATTACATTGCCCGATTGATGCGGGCAACATTAATATATACCGGCAATTATTCATAGTGACCGGGTTTATGGAATTACCCGTAACATATATGACTAGTAAAAGACTAGCAATATTCTGAAGCAAAATAGAAACTTCCAAATAAAAATGGTAAAAAAACGTCTTCATCATCAATATTAAAACAATCAACACAATAGTATCAATAAAAGTATCGCAGAGTAGTTATCCGTGGTGGGGGACCTGGTATTAGCTGGCATTAGTTATTACCACCTGGTGGTACAATCTTCTGCTCAGTTTAGGTACCAGACTCTTGCAAGCATAATGTAAACACAATCTTTTGTCAACCATTTTTTAACCGACTTCAAAAAAGGAGGAGGGTCTCAATTCGACTGTATGTTCTTTTTTTTGTATGTATGTATGTTACGCGATAACTCCGGTATTTGTGAACCGATTTTCATGATTCTTTTTTGTTGGAAAGGGGGTACTTCCATAGTAGTCCCATTTCATTTTGAAGAAAATCATCCACCTCGAAGGATGACTGTTCACGCATGAAGATTCACTTTTATAAATAGCGCCTAACTTTAATTTAGGAGCAATTACTTTAATGGTTGATTTTGCTATTTCTCCAATTCAAGGCGTTTTTCTCTCAATATACTTTGTGTAGTGTCGTAGTGAGAACCTATTTTTATTATCTCCAGTGTCAAGTCCTGTATAGTGGCGAACTAGGGGATATTTCAATAAAACTTAGCAAATAGACGTAATTCCACGTACTTTTGAGGTCGGTTTTTTTAGTA